TATTATTATTAGTAATATTATTATTATAAACTTACTGATTTCTCGTAATTACACTTATTGAAATTAATTTTGTATTGCTTTGCCTGCCAACCTATTGATTTTAGAATATTGTATCTATTCTGGGCCATCGAGAGAGGGCTGGGTAGTTTCCTCAGGCCCGAAAAAACTTAGAGGTCTACAGTGGTTCCTATCCCTATAAAATTAATAGTAGGCCTATATTATTTCTACTAACAAAAAAATAAAAAATTTTAAGCTGCTTTTTGTTAACAAGAACAAATTCTACGTAGCCTATTTCATTTATTTTAAAACGTGGCTAAAAGGGCCCGCCCGCTTTATCCCCGGGCCCCATACAAGCTCTCGACGGCTCTATATCTGAACCTACATTGAACTTACTGATTTTATATTAATTTAGGATACTATACATACTATTGAATTATTATTATATTTATCGCTTATTGATTAATTAATTAAATCGATAATTTTTTTCCAGTTATTTACAATTGAAAAGTACTAAAATAAATAAAATGTTATTAATATTTTAAAAATTATTATTAAATAAAAATTATGATTTTTTGAATTAATTGAGGAATCGAAACTTTTTTAAAAACACTAGAAATTTTAGAATTTTATTAAAAGCATATAGTCTAAGCATAAAATTTAAAAAAATATATATTAATAAATATAAATTTTATTTTATTAAGAACATTTATTGACTATTAAAAATATATTCATTAAATTTTTATCTTTTTTTACGGATTAAAAGAAAAACCGATTTAAAATCGTTTTTATTTTGGAGTTTTTTTAATAAAATACAATTAGAAAGATTATTTTAATTAGCGTGAAACATCTCATGTTTTGTTAATAATCCCAAATATTTTAGAAATATATGGGCTATATATTTATTTTTGGACTAACATGATACTGTATTTTAATTAGAAAATATACATAAATCAAAATTTTTATGTTTTTTATCATTTAAATATAAGGAATTTTAATTCATGTTTAACTATTGCATATTAAAATAGATTCAAAATTTATAGGTTAAAATCTTCTATATAAGCTCTCGATTTTGTCATAAAATAGCAATAGGGTCGGATTCTTATATAAACTGAAAAAGCTATAACTTCGGACCTCAATTTATGAGGAACCTTGTTGCATTCTAAATAAACAAAATTAATATAAGCTTATATTGTTCGTTAACTCTTTGCTGTATATTCTTATGTGATTTTTCCTTGTTATTTGACGCTGTTAAAAACGTAATATCTAGCCTAATTCTGGTTCTGTCTTAATATCATTTACTTAAAAGAAAAAGCCTCTTATATGTCATAGGTTATATGGTTACATGTTTAAATCAGGCTCAGAATAGAAACATTTTATCATTCTTAAACATAATAAGCTTAACATATTTATCGCATTATTAAAAAAAGTAATAAGAAATATTTATTTATTATTTTTTGACTATACGTTTGAGGTTTAAATAAGGCTTACATAATTTTAAATAACAGTAGAACCAAATTTAAAATGTATAGAATAAATATAGTTTTTAGATAATTTAAAATTGGGGAAATATACCATGAAACTTTATATCAATTTTATTTTAGGCCTTAATTTATTATCCTAAATTTTTAAAGTTTACTTTTATTTTTTAAATTAATAGTCATGACGAACATTTAATATTTGTTTCAATAGTTGATCTATACGCTTTTACACTATAAATATGCAATGAAGCATAGCCTATATGTTAGAAAATATTTTATTAAAAAATTATATATTAATAAGTTTAATATTTCCGAGATAAACGTTTGTATTTAAATAATTAAATTTAAAATAAATATTAGTTTTAAGCCATTTAACATTAACAGCATCTAAAAAGTTTATAGAAACATAAGGAAATCTAAAAATTAAAAATATAAAATAAATAAAAAGAAGAAAATTNAAAAAATAGTTAAAATTAATAATATAATAATAATGTTAATCCTATAATAAAAAATTTAATTAAATTTTATTCCAATTTTTATAATTTTGATGTAAAAATATTTGTGCGGGTATAAATTAGATTGGTTGCGATTCTGAACTACAATATAGCCTATATAAAAGGCCTTTTCTCTTCGTTAAATATGTTAACAGCACGAGGCCCTAATAAATTAATATACTATAATAAATTTAACAGCTTGGGGCTTTATGTTTGAAATAAAAATGCAGATAAGCTTGTTTATCTGCATTTTCAAAATGTGTGTTATAACAGATATAACATAAGGCTTGAGAGATATGATATGGCCTATTTCAGTCACAGATGCGAGGCCTTACACTTTCCGAAAACTATAAAATATATCAATAAAATTAATAAGCACATAGTAGTATGAAAAGAAATTTTAATTTATTGCATTGCTTCATATTACTGTTTTTTATATAAAAGATTAAATTTTAAGTCAGTGTTTCTAGGTAAAGCCAAAGTACTCTGATGGCATTTCTCTGTGTGAATCTAAATATAATTACTTAAATTTCCATATAAGCATAGAGCTACGTGTAGTTATAGATATACTGTACAATACAAGTATAGAACTGTAGAGTACAGTTACATAATATAGCCTATATTATGTCGAATTTAATTTGATACACTAAGAATTTCCAAATACATGTTAATTTAATTAATTTAATTAATTAATAAAATTAATTTAAAATAAAGAAATTTTAAATTAATTTGTAATAAACATTTAGAAATGCTTCTTATATCAATATGCAATATATAAAATAATGTTAATTAATGTATTACAACCATATAAACTATGCAAACACTAAATGTGGAAGCATATTATTCAAAGCCTATTATAATTGACTAGATACATCTATTATGGTGTATAGAATCATATTAGTAAAACTAAATATAAATAGACCTAGTAATGTGTATAAATTTAAGACCAAGATTTGATTTTGGCCTTTATGTGTCAAGTCTACTGTATGCAAACCTGTTTATAGATTTGTATGATACAAGCCTATCATCCTGTCAAAAGTGTAGGCCTACTGCACTTTTGAATGCATAACATAGTAAATCAAACAGTATATTTAATTAGAAAATTAATACAGAAAATCATAAAAAGTTTAATTTATCAAGGTTTGTTTTACTATATTTATACTTAGGCTACTTCAAAAATTATATAAGCTACATTTAGATATTTTAAAGTATGCTGTACTATGTAACAAAATTAAGATTGTTTAGATTAATATATTATATTAATTATAAACTAATTAATAAATTAACTTCTATTAATCTTTCTTAATGGATCTACTGTAATTTATCTAAATTTAAAGAATTAATAAGTGATAAAAATATTAATATCATTTATAAAATTTAATATATTTAATATGAGTTTAGTTTAAATATTTTAAATTTTTTATTATTACTTTGTCTAATTTTTTTAAATTAATTTTCTTATATAAGTATTAAAAATACTATATAGCTGCATTATAATTAGATATAATCCTTATTATATCTAACTATAATATGTGCTTATAATTATATTATATTATATAAATTAAAACAGGAAAAATACTAAGTTTTAACAATAAAAACTGCATAAACAGCTTTAAAATGATAAAAGAAGTATATAATAAAATATTGTCGAAATTGTGAGTTTTAATCATTAATTTTTAACAAAAATGTCTTAGATTCGATTTATAAATATTATAAAAACAACATAGAGCATATTACATTGCGAAGTAAATGTTATAAAAATGATTATAAACCTCAGTTTAATTATAAAATCCATAATATTTTGTTAAGTAATGTTTTCCTTAATTTTACTTAAGTAATAATGAATTAAACTCTAAAAATTATTAGATTAATAAAATTTAATATATTTAGAAATGATGAAATAAAATAAAAGTGATTAATTCATTGCATTATAAATACAAGTGATAATACAAGGATAGGAAAATACAAGGTTAGCCAATATGGCGTCGAAAACTTAAAATTAACATAGATTCTGTGACTAAATATGTTATTAAATGAAAGCACCAAAGTTTTTAACAGTAGACTACCTTATAATTAGGATTGAATTTACACACAAGCTAAATAAGCTATAGCTTAAACCCTTATACTAGGAAGATACAGTTTAGCACCTTACATTTTAAAATTTATTATTATTTAGTGGAAGAGGAAGGACCTCTTATATGGTATAGTTTATGAACAACAGCAAGAGTAAATATGCCCTGCTTTCAATACTTTAACATAGGCACAAGTGCAATACTGCACGAGTCAATCAAATTTATACCTCATATTTTGACAAATTTTGGTGTTAGCTTGCACGATACATCCTCGTAATTCTTGCAAAATGGTATCCTAGATAGGGGAGTTCAAATATCAAAAACTTCATAGACCCTCCCAGAAACTATGTGGTTAAACTCTTAAAGACACATAAAAGAGGTGTTCTATATTATACATTACGGGAAAATTTGCGATTTGCATTTATAAATTAAAGGTCCTATAATGTCTCATAGTACAATAATGCCTATTTTAGGTAAGCACTGTAAAAACTATCTTCTAATTTTAAAGTTAATGCATGATTAATTTTTCCAAAGAAAACATTAAAGAAATTAATTGTAATAGAAATTATATTAATTTGATTATGGTAACGAAATTAGTATAAGTTTACACGTTCTTCAATAATATGCTTGAAATAATAGGATAATCTGATAGTTTCATATTTCATGAAATATGACAGGTCTTACATTAACTTCTTACATTGAATTTCATATAAGACCTGTCGTATAATTATGATAATATTTAATGATTTGTAAGTTTTAACAGGAAATTCCGCAAGAAAATGAAATTCCAAACTAGTTTACATGAATTTGTCATCTTACCCTAAATCTCAACTATTTTTTCAGTTCCTTTCAAAAAAAAAATTTTTAAAAATAGTATAACTATTATAATATTAAAAAGATGTAATTTTATAATATATATTTTCTATTTAGTTAGTAGACAAAATCCGTCACCTTACCTCAATTTTCTCTTAATTGTTATAGGCCTATATATGAAAAGGCGATTTCCTGAAAAGAAGAACAAATTTCAAGTAAATTAATAAGTTAATGAATCGGCCTATTGAAATGTGTGTATCTGTAACCTAAAGAAGAATATTGAAAACTAGCTTAAATTAGACGAATTGAAGTTTAAATTTATTGATGACAACACAATTAACTTTTTCACTTTTAATTGGGGCTTTATTAATAAGATATTGTAACCTTATATCACATAATATATAAGAATTCAAGGTAAACAATACACATATGACTTAATAGATTCAATTAACTTTATGTAGAAAATAGAAAGATCCAATTAATTTATTCGCTTTTTATTGAGATCTTCATCAATAAGACATTGTAGACTTATATAGAATATAAGGCTACGATATATACATAAATACAAATACCGTATATATAATATCAAGTGTGTATAGAGTATAAGTCTATGAGTATCTACACCGGCTTGTGAGATCTTTAATGCAAATCAAAACCTGTAATTTAGATAAATTGCTTTTATAAATCTGTGGAATTAAAAATTTTATTATTATTACCATTATTATTTTATTTATAGATTTTTATGTATATAAATAGGATTGAAATTCTGTTCAAATTCTTTCTAATATTTCGATCGATACTGATGTGAACTAAAATGATCAATCAATGATACTAAAACATTACAATTTATATCATAAAACTATGATAAAAGTTTAAAATTTAAAATTCAATTGAAGCTTTTCAAAATTCTAGGATTTGTATCTTGCTAAAGAACGGAAAGAAAATAAATTCAGAAACAAAATTCTAAGTATTCATTAAGATAGGGCAAATAGTGTCTCGCTTTTAAATTTATTATTATTTATTGGAAGCGAAAGATCTCTTAAATATTAGTTAACTTTAGAGCCATAGCAAATCTAAATCCTTCCTGATTACAAACTCGCACAACACACAAAACATTCTAAAAACTGAAACTTTATAAGTTAGAAATACCGAACGGAAATTAATTTCCATTTTTTTCTTAGATAAATTCTAAATTAATTTAAGATATAANAGATCATTATTAAAGCTAAAGCGCGCTTAACAACGCCTTTACTTAGATTGATATTTTTATATTTTTCTTGAAATACTGTAATTTTCTTAAAATACTTTAAAATAAATAGTTTTTTTTCAGTTATTGAATAATATTTATAATTAAACACTGTAATAAAATTTAATTATAATAATTTTTGGCATATATTTTATATGAAGAAAATACTATTAATATTAAGTTTTTATTTTCAATTCTACGAGTTATAAGTGAATTAATCTAGAACGTAAATAATAAAAATTATTTAACAAGTTAATAGAATTGTATAAAATCAAATGACTGAGAAGAATTAATAATAATAATTGTCTCTAATATTTAAATGCATCTACAGTCTTATAAAAATAATTTTAAAATACTTTATAACTAAAAAAAATGACTTAAATATAGGCTTATATTATTATAAATATTAAATTATAATTAATTACAGTGATTTTCGATATAATAAATTCTCAAAACATTGAGTAAAATCATGCTATATTGATATCAAATCATAGTATGTAAATATATTAAGTGTTTACTATATAACATAAAGAATATCAATAACCAAGAAAATTGTTTACTGTATCAGATGTTCACTATATTATTATTTAGAAAGTTTAAACATTTATAGCTTAAGTAATTCTTTTTGTAAGAAATTATCATCATTTCTACAGATTTAATTGTGTTGATCAGATATAGATCAATTCACAATAAAGTAGAACTAATCTTATGATAGTAAGGCCTAATATTTTTATATATTTTAATTGTAAATCCTTAAGAACTGAGGGTTTATGATTTATAATTACGAGTAAGTCTAAATATAAAAAGAATATCAGAAATATACTAATGTCAGAGAGGCATCTTACAGATCTAATGAAGAAGGTTAAAGGGCGGATAAGGTTAAGGGAGTTACCCTTAACCTTACTTTTCTCAACCCCTTAACCTTTTATACTATATAATAAAACTTTTCTTAATATTTCTTTGAAGAATATAACTGAAAAATAATTATGATATAAACAACTTTATTATTATTATTAGTAATATTATTATTATAAACTTACTGATTTCTCGTAATTACACTTATTGAAATTAATTTTGTATTGCTTTGCCTGCCAACCTATTGATTTTAGAATATTGTATCTATTCTGGGCCATCGAGAGAGGGCTGGGTAGTTTCCTCAGGCCCGAAAAAACTTAGAGGTCTACAGTGGTTCCTATCCCTATAAAATTAATAGTAGGCCTATATTATTTCTACTAACAAAAAAATAAAAAATTTTAAGCTGCTTTTTGTTAACAAGAACAAATTCTACGTAGCCTATTTCATTTATTTTAAAACGTGGCTAAAAGGGCCCGCCCGCTTTATCCCCGGGCCCCATACAAGCTCTCGACGGCTCTATATCTGAACCTACATTGAACTTACTGATTTTATATTAATTTAGGATACTATACATACTATTGAATTATTATTATATTTATCGCTTATTGATTAATTAATTAAATCGATAATTTTTTTCCAGTTATTTACAATTGAAAAGTACTAAAATAAATAAAATGTTATTAATATTTTAAAAATTATTATTAAATAAAAATTATGATTTTTTGAATTAATTGAGGAATCGAAACTTTTTTAAAAACACTAGAAATTTTAGAATTTTATTAAAAGCATATAGTCTAAGCATAAAATTTAAAAAAATATATATTAATAAATATAAATTTTATTTTATTAAGAACATTTATTGACTATTAAAAATATATTCATTAAATTTTTATCTTTTTTTACGGATTAAAAGAAAAACCGATTTAAAATCGTTTTTATTTTGGAGTTTTTTTAATAAAATACAATTAGAAAGATTATTTTAATTAGCGTGAAACATCTCATGTTTTGTTAATAATCCCAAATATTTTAGAAATATATGGGCTATATATTTATTTTTGGACTAACATGATACTGTATTTTAATTAGAAAATATACATAAATCAAAATTTTTATGTTTTTTATCATTTAAATATAAGGAATTTTAATTCATGTTTAACTATTGCATATTAAAATAGATTCAAAATTTATAGGTTAAAATCTTCTATATAAGCTCTCGATTTTGTCATAAAATAGCAATAGGGTCGGATTCTTATATAAACTGAAAAAGCTATAACTTCGGACCTCAATTTATGAGGAACCTTGTTGCATTCTAAATAAACAAAATTAATATAAGCTTATATTGTTCGTTAACTCTTTGCTGTATATTCTTATGTGATTTTTCCTTGTTATTTGACGCTGTTAAAAACGTAATATCTAGCCTAATTCTGGTTCTGTCTTAATATCATTTACTTAAAAGAAAAAGCCTCTTATATGTCATAGGTTATATGGTTACATGTTTAAATCAGGCTCAGAATAGAAACATTTTATCATTCTTAAACATAATAAGCTTAACATATTTATCGCATTATTAAAAAAAGTAATAAGAAATATTTATTTATTATTTTTTGACTATACGTTTGAGGTTTAAATAAGGCTTACATAATTTTAAATAACAGTAGAACCAAATTTAAAATGTATAGAATAAATATAGTTTTTAGATAATTTAAAATTGGGGAAATATACCATGAAACTTTATATCAATTTTATTTTAGGCCTTAATTTATTATCCTAAATTTTTAAAGTTTACTTTTATTTTTTAAATTAATAGTCATGACGAACATTTAATATTTGTTTCAATAGTTGATCTATACGCTTTTACACTATAAATATGCAATGAAGCATAGCCTATATGTTAGAAAATATTTTATTAAAAAATTATATATTAATAAGTTTAATATTTCCGAGATAAACGTTTGTATTTAAATAATTAAATTTAAAATAAATATTAGTTTTAAGCCATTTAACATTAACAGCATCTAAAAAGTTTATAGAAACATAAGGAAATCTAAAAATTAAAAATATAAAATAAATAAAAAGAAGAAAATAAAATTTTATATTTTAAATATATTCATTGACTTCTTTAATGTCAAACTTATTAACATTTATACTTAATAGAAAATTAAGCAAAGACAAAATTTAAATCAAAGTCTGCACATTCTTGCTTTTCTTTGAATTTCTCTTGTTAATGAATTTTTTAAAATATTATTAATTGTATTAAAATTTCGTATATAATAAACAAAAATAATAATTTATTTTTACAAAACTTAACCTACAAGATTGGCCTAAACTGAGAGAATATTCTTAAGACAAATTATATAAAGATAGAGTGTATTTAATTTTTTACTAAAAAAAAGGTATGCTTTAACAATAAAGAAGCGAGTATTTACTGTATATACTGTATAGAGTAAATACTGTACTTTTAGTTTTGTAGGAGTAAATAGGATTTTTAGCTATTTCTTTAGTAGGCTAAAATATATTAATGTTATCCTATTTTGAGAAAACCATTTTATAAAATTATTCATCTTATTTTTTATTTATATTTTAACATTAAGCTTATTTTTTATATTTTTGAAGAATTTTATCACATATTACCTTATGTAAATGCATCTGTAGTCAGTCAAGCATTGAAAGCTAAAGGAAAATAACCTATTTAAGGAAGAATAAAATAAATAAATAAATTAATTAAATTATTTTCAATTGCTTATAAATTTTAATTATATTATACTCTAGATCTATTAAATTATAATAAAAATTTATTTTCGTTAGACTTTATAGATCATTATTAAAGCTAAAGCGCGCTTAACAACGCCTTTACTTAGATTGATATTTTTATATTTTTCTTGAAATACTGTAATTTTCTTAAAATACTTTAAAATAAATAGTTTTTTTTCAGTTATTGAATAATATTTATAATTAAACACTGTAATAAAATTTAATTATAATAATTTTTGGCATATATTTTATATGAAGAAAATACTATTAATATTAAGTTTTTATTTTCAATTCTACGAGTTATAAGTGAATTAATCTAGAACGTAAATAATAAAAATTATTTAACAAGTTAATAGAATTGTATAAAATCAAATGACTGAGAAGAATTAATAATAATAATTGTCTCTAATATTTAAATGCATCTACAGTCTTATAAAAATAATTTTAAAATACTTTATAACTAAAAAAAATGACTTAAATATAGGCTTATATTATTATAAATATTAAATTATAATTAATTACAGTGATTTTCGATATAATAAATTCTCAAAACATTGAGTAAAATCATGCTATATTGATATCAAATCATAGTATGTAAATATATTAAGTGTTTACTATATAACATAAAGAATATCAATAACCAAGAAAATTGTTTACTGTATCAGATGTTCACTATATTATTATTTAGAAAGTTTAAACATTTATAGCTTAAGTAATTCTTTTTGTAAGAAATTATCATCATTTCTACAGATTTAATTGTGTTGATCAGATATAGATCAATTCACAATAAAGTAGAACTAATCTTATGATAGTAAGGCCTAATATTTTTATATATTTTAATTGTAAATCCTTAAGAACTGAGGGTTTATGATTTATAATTACGAGTAAGTCTAAATATAAAAAGAATATCAGAAATATACTAATGTCAGAGAGGCATCTTACAGATCTAATGAAGAAGGTTAAAGGGCGGATAAGGTTAAGGGAGTTACCCTTAACCTTACTTTTCTCAACCCCTTAACCTTTTATACTATATAATAAAACTTTTCTTAATATTTCTTTGAAGAATATAACTGAAAAATAATTATGTAAAAACTTCATAAAAAGCCAAATAGTAATGTTTAATGCTTCATGAAGTTTTTATCAAAACTATTTCTTTAAAATATATTCAATTATTATTAAAAAAACAATTTCAATTTTCTAATTAATTTCCATTAATTACTAGAAGGTACCATATATAGAAATATTACACTCAAAATTTAATAAATAAATTTTAAAAATTTATTATTAAAATTATTTATTCTTAAATAAGCAATAATAGTCGATTTCTTATAAAATCTTTATACAATGGGTTTTTGATATAGTTATATATAACCGATATAATGGACTATTTTGTTCACTATATCGAGTATATCGGGTGCTATTCTTTATTTATATTATGAAGTGTTTATTGTTTTCTTGGTGTAGTGAGCGATTTAACTCAGTCCTTTGAAAATTCATTAAATCGAGAATCCATTGTATATTTTTAGAAATATTATAAATATCTTTNACTTTTAATATTACCGATATGTCATCGAAAAGAAAACGTGTTGTATTATCATTAAAAGACAAATTAAAGTATTTGTTTCGATTATCCGGATTTTTTCTTATCCGGACTACCTTCATCCCCAATTAGTCCGGATAATCGAGGTTCTACTGTATTATGAAGTGTTTATTGTTTTCTTGGTGTAGTGAGCGATTTAACTCAGTCCTTTGAAAATTCATTAAATCGAGAATCCATTGTATATTTTTAGAAATATTATAAATATCTTTTATCAATTACTCAATTTGATATTAAGGAATAGCAATTTAAATAAATGACAGGATAATCAAGAAGTCTTTGTGCATGTAAATACAGTACATTACATTGTAATGTACTGTATTTACATGTACTGTACGTGCAAGTCGTAGTGACTTTTTAATCATTTATAATATTTTAAGATAATTTACCCACCCTTCTTGTATACTAAATACTGTGTGCTCTAGATATAGTGAACTTTCGATATGCTGAACAATTTTGTTCTTAATATTCTTTAAGTCATAGTGAACACCTGATATAATGAATAATTTGCTTAGTTCTTTGAACATTTAATATATTCAATTCGATTCAATTCTTTATTAATATAGGAAATAGTACTAAGAATACTATGTTCAGTGTACTATAAAATTACTGCATTCACTTTATTGAAGTTTATTGTAAATTGTTACCTACAGCAGATAATGCAATGATAAATTTATACTTTAAGTTTATAAAAGATATTTATAAACTTGCTATGCACTTAATGCTATGTTTTCATGATATTTTTAGTGTAGAACAAAGTTTTTCATATAAAACAGATTGTAACTTAAAAATTATTCTCATATTTAGACTAAGAAAAAAATCTCACAGTAATTAATTTAAAATAATTATTTAAGTTTTCCATAAAAATAAATTATTTTTATATTCTAGAAACGAAAATGTCAAGTTTATAATAAGCTGTAATTATAGCTGACAAATTAAACCATTTAAGTTTAATATAACTTTATTGATCCTATAACATATAATTGTATAAAAATAATAAAAATTTTTCTCATTTTCATTACTTTTATACTTTTTTAAGGCTATTTATTCAAATTAAAAATTAATAATTAAACAAAATTGTTACTATTTATCGAAAAAAACCTTAAGATTAATATAAACAGTGGTTTAGTCAGGAATTAAATTTGGTAGAGATCAACAAATAAATTTAAATGATAGTAGTCTTGTATATTCTTATATTTGAAACATTAACAAAATAGCTTTTTTAATAAAAAAAATTATTTTTTAATATTTTAATTCATATTATGGTTCAATATTAATCTTACAAGACTTACATTTAAATTTCTTCTGTAGGTGTAACCTCTGTAATCTATAATCTTTGCAATCCCTCAGCTCTCTTGGTTAGGTCAACGAGTAGAAATTAGATCCAAATTAAACTAATAAAATTCAAGATTATTTTTTAAATTTTTTCTTTTGCTTAATATGTAACTTACAGAAATGATAACTCGTTAAATCATAAATTACAATAGATCAATACTTAATTATAGTGTCTGTTTGAGTCTATATAATTAATTGTGATTTTAATATTGATTTAAAAACACTTATATAAAAATGTTTAATAAATATATAAATTAACAGAGTCTAAAACCTATAAAAATGTTAATATTATTTTAATTATAATAATTTAATAAAATTAGCATTTAATAATGAGGTAATAAGTAAAGACTAATAATTAAATAATTATTAGCCTATATTTAACTGAAAGAAGTTCATTTTTATTTTAATAAAATTATTATAAAATTAAGTTTCAATATAAGAAAAATATAATAATGATAATAATTTATAAATCCTATTAGTTTATAAGTTATATATATATATATAAATTATATGTATTTAANTCCTCTCCCTTTTTCAATCAGCTTTTTTACATTTATTCTAATTAAAGCATATTCCTTTAATTTCTTTAAATATCGTTATTCGAAATCTAAAACTTTGGCACGCATAAAACATTTTTAAAGCTAAGTATGCTTGTTATATGACACACAGACTCAAATACATTAAATATTTATTAGATTATATCTATAATTATAATTTCTAGAGCTATGCCTATTTAAATCTATGATAGATTTATTGAATGTAGGCCATCAATTAGCCTACGCACTATAGTCACTTTTTAAAAATGTTCTAAAATTGCACGTTAAATATTTAAATGATAATAAAATAAATTCAGAATTTTAACAAGTATTTTCTTCCATTTACTCCTATATTATATAATTTAGATTCTAAACAGGAAAAGAATTTAGGGATGGTCGTAGAAAAATGCCGCGAGGTAGTATGTGTTACCCCCTGACAGAACCCCACAGCAAAATCCCCTCCTCTGCAACATACTCTTCTGTTTGATTGGACAATTAAGTTCAGACGTATAGCAACGTTTGCCAAACTGTGGTGACTGATAAAAAATAAAAAAAGAATTAAAAAAAGACCAAGAGCTTGAGTGTTCAGATCAACTCTCCTCCTCTGCTATTGGCTGTAAGGTCTGACAAGTCATTGTGCTCGAATGCTACCGAAGTTCTTTACTTTTTAATTAATTTATCTGAATATAAAAATGTGTATAAAGATTAAATAAATATATAAATTTTATTAATCTATATATAAAAATATAGTAAGTGGATAATAGGACCTA